TTATGGGCGAAACACAGCAGTTAATTGCGCACAGCAGAGTCCCACAAACAGTCATAGACTGAAGTGACCAATTTATTATTATTATTTTTTTTGAAAGAATTATTACCCCCCAATCGACTAACAATGGGGTTCCTACTTACTGCTAGGTGAACAGTGGCCGGTGGAGTAAGGAAACTTGCCCAACATTTCGCCCTGCCAGGAATTGAACCCAGCTCTCTCGCTTGTGATGCAAGTGCTCTAACCACTGAGCTACAGGACTCCACAAATGTTACAGTTCGTGTAATACAATTACGGTCATGGCACAAACATATTTGTGGAGTAATGTTTTCAATTATAGTATAGATTAGAAATAATCACAAATAAAATGTTACATGTCAAGGAAATGCAAAATACTTAATGTAATGGTAGATAGAAAATGTTATCATCTTAACGTTCACAATGTTAAAATGATAACATTGTTAATGTTAAGATTTTAATATCAATATCTCAAGAATCTTGGAACAAAGTTTTATATATATAACATGTACTTTATAGCAATATGCACACACATATCTAACATATCTAACATCTTACAAACTCTTTGAGATCCAGGAGAAGAGAGTTTAATATAAATCTTTCACAGGTTTAATTTTTTATGGAGTAAACGTTTGCATTGCAACAAATTTGATGTCAATTCTGATTGAAGGTCATATTCAAAACTTTAACCTCGCATTCCCCTTTCATTACCAAACGACTTCCACGCATTTTCTGCATTTAAATAATGTATGTCTGTGTAACCACACCCAATAGGTCAAGATGGACAAAAAAGGTTTCTGACAACCAGATCTCATCAGAGAAAAATAGGTCTCACTCATTCTTTACATGAAATTGTATCCAAAGTAAGCCACTTTGCAAATAGGAAAAGTTCCTTGAACAACACAGTTTTGATGTTTCAGATTTATCCATGTGATTGTCCCTTCTCACACTATATAAATAGGTTCTCCCTCAGGCTACTGTCATCTTATTTTCCCAGAAGTATGTGTGAACAAGTCACAATGTGAAAATGCTGAAACCATTTTCTTTTTTCCAAGCTACCTGATCCCTGGAAGAAAGAGGACAAAGGCAAGTTGATGGGTGTGAATTCAACGTATGAAGGGTGGTTTCATTTGCAGGATAGATTGATATTACGAGCGGGATCATTTTACTTTCTTCTTTAATCTCACAAAATACAATCTTTAATAGAAGGTGGTTCTTTTTGCAGAAAGTGTTTATTCTTTCAAGAATAAATTAGATAAATTTCTGTTAGGAAATAATATATCGTGATACAGTATATAGTTTGGGACTTAATATGTGCAAGCGACAATCAGGACAATAATAATAATAATACTTGCATTTGATATAGCGCTTTTCACGTCTTCTAGACGTCCCAAAGCGTTTCACAGAATATACTGTAAAGTGAATTGACTGTATATTTGTGGACGAACGCGGCAGCCAATTGCACACAGCAATGTCCCACAAACAGTCATGGATTGAAAATGACCAATTTATTATTGTTTTTTTTTGGAGGGATTATTATTAGGCTCTGTGTGGAGTAAGGAAACTTGCCCAAGGTTTCGCCCTCTGCCTGGAATTGAACTCAGGTCTCTCACTTGCAAAGCGAGTGCTCTAACCACTGAGCTACAGGACTCCAGGATGGTAGAAGACAAACTAGATGGAGCAAATTCTTATGTTCTTATTTCTAAAAAATGTGGCAGGTATGTTTTAGGTAAAGTTTGGAAATTGAGATTGTAAATTTAGGGGTCCAAAAGAGAATTCATATAGTTGTGCTTGCATCTGATACAGTGCCTTAGCATATACTATACTAGTCCATACTACTTTCAGAAACTATCCAACTTTGGTACTGCTGTAAAAATCACATGAAACAACAACAACAAATTACATTACAAGCACCTTTCACGTCGGGAGGACGTCCCAAAGTACTGGACAGTCAGGGATTTGGACCCGAGCAGGGGGTTGGGATCAGGGAAGGTAGAGGGCAGGGAGGGTAGGGAGGAGGATAACCGAAGGTGAGGTCAAAGAGGAGGATCTTGATATTGCCTTGAAGGAGGCAAGGGAGGGAGCAAGGCTAAGGGACTGTGGGATGGAGTTCCAAAGAGTGGGGCAGAAGGGCTCAAGGCCTGACCGCTGATGGTGGAGTGGGGGACATGGAGCAGGCTGGAGTCTGCTGAGCAGAGGGAGCAGACAGGTTGATATGGGGTCATCAGGTCACAGAGGTAATAAGGAGCAAGGCGTTGGAGGGCTTTGAAGGTGAAAATTTTAAATTCTATCCTCTGGGGAATGGGGAAACATCATGAAAGATATACTTCTTGTTATCTACACTTCCAAAAGGTGAGAACCGACTCTCCAGTATGAAGTCTCCTATCCACTAACCCTTAGGGGTATGTCACACTGCTATAAATTGCCCCGTCTGTTGAACTGGCCAAGAGTGGACTAAACTTAAACAACTGTCCACTAGTTGCTGACCTGGGGATGTGCATCCAATGCTCTGGCTCCAGATTTACTGCCTTCCCCCCACAGGAATTAATGTGCTTGTTGCTAGTTAATTCCGGGTTCACCAATATTTTAAGTAATTTGTATGAACAGCATTACTTAACTGAATAAATATAATCAAGTTTACTTTACTGGGATTATTTTCATGCAGAAACAATGTTCTGAACGTTCTGTGTGAACAACATCACTTAACACAGATCGGCAGAACATAGTGTACTAGTGCTAATGTGTCTTGCCAGTTTTAGTGAAAGTATTCAGCAGAGACCATATGTGAATATCATGTGATTTGAATGTGACCCGACCAGACAGTCTGCAGAGGTCCAATTCCCTTGACAGGTAGAGCTGTCTGCTTCAAAATAATTGGCTGTTGATCCAAGCCCACAGCTACTTAAATACTAGTTCAGAAATAAGTGCATTTTAATTGATTACTTTGTAAAAAAATAACAGATGCCATTTTATCCAGGATTCTCTGCCACCCCTGTCTGGTTCCTTTACACAGCAATATCTTACACAATAATATTTACAAACTAGAACTGTTACAAAGTCATTAGCTGACTCAGTCCCATATCCAGTTTCCATATTGCCCTTTAAACAGTACGTTTATATGTTTAACCAACAAAGCGTTGGAAATTAAAGTTTTTTTTAAGTACTGTATACAGTATTCAGTTCTTAGCAATATTTTGCAGCATTAAAAAAGAACACTTTCAGGACGAGAGGAAGACATTTTAGTTCAAGGTTTTTAAATACTGTATCTCCTTAAATCTTGATAATCCATTGTTACTGTGTTTGAAGGGATTATTTTCAAGCACCTATAATGTATAGAGTAACCCAACTTCATCTTTACTTATCTTTACTTAAGAGTTTTTTCCCATTAACTTAGCATTATTGAGCTGAAATAAAAACACAAAACAGGCTTGAAATGCACAGCAGATCAATCAAACTCAAAAGAAAGAGAGGTTAGTGTTTCTTCAGGTGTTCTGTGAAAGTGTCTCACCCAAACCCATCAGATATAATAATAATGATAATCTTCGCATTTGATATAGTGTCTTATCATGACATAGAGGCATCTCAAAGCACTTCACAGGATATACTGTACTGTGAAATGGTTTGAGTGTATTACGCAGGTGATCTCTCTGATTTGGTTGATTGACATTATGTATTTCCAGCATTTAATGTTTTAACTTCACGTTTGCAATAGTTACCAATTTCCTTTTTTTTTCTCTCTGTGAATGTTTTCAAGCCACTTGGTCCAGTTGATATGAACCAGTCAGCTGCAAATGAATCAGACTCACAGAACACGAAGTTTGAGAAAACTTGTACCAAGCTGCAAGTAAATTTGAGTTTCAAAAATAAGCTAGAAATTCGGTCTTGTCCAGCTACCTTATTACCATTTTGTTTCACAACTGTGAAAGACGCTGCTAGATTTCAATGAAAGTCTAAATTCATTTGATTTGTCTGTCATTCCCACAACTATTATTTTTCTTATTGTTGATCTGGAGTTTGCATTGTACAGCTCTCACCAGTGCCAGTGTACAACTATAAATAGACGTACTGTAAAAACATGTCATTAGGCAGGGAAGTTTATACAGACATATTTCCCTTAAAAATATATGCAATATTTCCCATGAAAATGGAACTATAAAAACAATCCAAATAAAGGTGATTGAGAGATAACTTGCATTTTGACATTTTGCATCACTGACATCAACATTTCCAGTATTTATATAGCTTTGCACCAGAAATTCTGTTGTTTTGTAATTGTGAGCCACAAAGCGGTGTATAAGATCCTCCATGCACATTCAACTGCATCACTAGATACCTTCACACATCAAGTTAAATGGAGGAGGCATCTGAACAGTTTCTGCAATGTACAACTATCAGCTTCCACAATATGCACACTTTTCCTAGTCAGATTATTTCTTCCTATTTTGGTATTAGTTTTATTTGATTTAATTTCAGTTTCCTTCATCCACTTGCTTCCCCTGCTTTTGCCCCATTCCAGGTATTCCGCTTATCTATTTCTGTGTCTATTTTGTTTTCTGCCCTCTTGATTTCTCAATGCGTTTGTCTTTCTAGCTTTTTATTTCCATTTCCTTGTCGGCCTCACGTTCCTCCATTGCAATATTTCGGCTATTTTCTTTCCCCAGACTGACCTACCTGCTTAATAGACACAAGGATATTGCCAAAGAAAGGCCCAGCATTGACTTTAGACATAACAATGAGAGGAGCTGGCAGGCAGGCAGGCACTCCCTGTGCTTTTCCCATAATTAAACTGGTTATGAAAGAGAACATCACAGCAGTTCTTTGTTAAACATATCCACGATTCATGAATTTTTATCTTTTTCTTTTATATTCAACTTCCCCAGAAGACGTATATGTCACATCGCACTATTGCAGGTTGTGACAAACACCACTTGTAATGAATGCTATTAGTTTCCTTAAAGTTCTGTGGAACTCCAAAGTAACATTACCTCTTGTGCCCTCTGAGCCACGCTCATCATGGTGTCTTGTTGTGGAGGAGCTGGTGGTGGAGGTGGCGCTCTGCGTTTCTTTACATCTGTCACAGAAGGCATCTTCGATATATTGCTGGCAGAAAGGGATGGATTCAAAACCGTGGATCGCGTACTGACCGTCGGTGTGCACGGAGCTGTTGAAGATCCCTACAATCAGATCGTCACAAAGGATAGAAAATATGGATTAAACTCAACGATGACTTTCAGAACTAATAATAATAATCCTTGCATTTGATATAGCATCTTTCACCTCGGGAAGAAATCTCAAAGTGCCTCACTGGAGACACTGTAGAGTGCAGTGACTGGGTATTTTGTAGGCAATTTGCACACAGCAATGTCCCACAAACAGTCATGAAGTGAATCACCAATTTAATTTGATTCATGTTCAGTAACAAAAACGATTTTCTGAAAATGATTGAAGAGTTTACATCTGTCTTATAGCACGTTCCTTCACATTGGATCATGATTTGAGTTGAAGTCACGTTGGGAGTTTGAACTCACGAAGTCTAGACTGACACTCCAATGCAGTGCTGGGAACATGCTGCATTGTTGGTGGTGCTTTCCTTCATTTGAGGTGTTAAACTGAGTTCCTGTCTGCCTGTTCAGATGGATGTTAAAGATCCCATGGCACTATTCAAAAAGAGAAAGGAGTTTCTTCCAGTGTCCTGGCCTGCAACCCCCCAGATAAAATTAATTGTTCACTTAATGGCCATTTGCGGGACACTGGTTTGTTCAAATTGGCTGCTGCTTTTGACTATAAAAACAGTTAATACACTTTACAGTAAATTCTGTGAAGTGCTTTGAAATGTTTCCCCCTTCCCCCCACCACCCCAGACGTGAAAGGCTCTATATCAAATTCAAGGATTAAGAACATAAGAACATAAGAAATAATAGATGAAAAAAGACCAAGGTCCATCTAATTTGTCTTCCACCTTCCTGGCGGTCGCATGCACATATGTCCCAAACTACCTATGTACTAATATCCCATAATGCTATTTCCTAAAAGAAAACTATCTAATCTATGTTTGAAAGAATCAACACTTCCTACTTCAACCATCTTCCACACTAAACTATTGTTTGCGTAGATTTGTTTTGAATTTACCCCCCTTCAATCGCAGGATTATTAATACAACTGCAAAATTAACTTTGCTTTGCCTTATTAATACTAAAGAATTCTTGTATGATACAAAAAGCAGCACTTTGATTGTGAGAAATGATACAATCATATCCTTAAAGGAAAACCATTCAATTCAGATTTGCAAAACCATTCTTTGACTATTACAAGATAATCAGAATTCCTAAGATTCCCTCTACCTGAACCTTGAACACTTGGGATTAGAGCAAAAGGAATACTCTTTGGAGAACAGAAATACGCGAAACACTCAAATCTCCTGATAATGACAACAGGAAAGAATGCAATCCTGCTTGCTAGTGCATCAAAGTGTCCATTAATACACTGTTTGACCGTAAATCTAGTTTTTTTCAGGTTGTGCTCGGGAGTTGAGGGAGACCATGGTTCAAATCTTGCTGGGAACCTGAAAATGTCATCTGTGGAATGCAAGTAGTCATGGTTTCATAATGCACTGAGAATGTTAGATTGAACTCCTGCTGAGCATTTTCCTCAATTACTGGGGGACGGTGGGGGGAGTACTGAGCGGTTGGGTAGAAATTTCAGTTTTATCCTTTGCCTGTGATTATTCAGTCCCCCTTGGAGATGGAATGGATTGATAGAATTCCTGACAAGAGAAGTTGTGTTGAGCTTCGCATTGTGCTCAACGTCCCTTTCTTTTTCCGTCAATACACCTTGGGCAGCAACAACAATTTATATGTGGCCCTTGACGTGGGCTAGTTTTAAGATGTTCTAATGATGTGATAATGCGCTATATATAATGCAAAGCTTATTATTATTATGCAGTGTATTATTTGGGATGATTATATGGCTCCTACTAAGCTAAAGCAAACACTGCTACCAGAAGCCCAGAAATAAAGACCTAGCACTCGAGCTCGGGGTGGATAAGAGAGGAAAGATGACTGAAAACACAGTCAAAGAGGTAGGTAAACCTTGAACAAGGCGACAAAGAAAGTAGTCAGAGGGTCTCTGAGATGGAGTGGCAGAGAGTGGGGCAGAATTAGATAAACATTTAAAGAATAAAAGTAAAAGAGTATGGAGAAGACCAGGGAAATGTGGTTACAGTAATTAGCTCCACCAATGGGTGAATCAATCTCCAACTAGGCTGTAATTTCTATGATTCCAGTGGCACAGGTGCTCCCTAATGGTCACGTAACGCTACCAATTTTGTTTGCAAAGCAGTGTATGATGCCTTCAGTTGAAAATGCAACTACTTAGATAATTATTTGGAGAGGACAAGTGTGCAGGGCTATGGGGAGAGAGCGAGGGAGTGGATTGAATTGGATAGCTCTTTTCAAAGAGCTGGCGCAGCCACGATGGGCCGAATGGCCTCCTTCTGTGCTGTATAATTCTATGGTTCTTAGCAGCAGAGAGTGTGGGAGAGATTTACTAAGCATTGAGGAAACTACTCTAAGTGTCATAGCCAGGCCTGACTATTGTAGATGAGGAAGCTCTCACAACACAACACCCTGTTTCTATAGACAGTATTTTGTAATAGAATCTTAGCAGGTAAAGAAAATACAGTAGAACGCTTGTATAACATGCTTCATTATAATGTGAGTTCACTTGTGTTGGGGATGTGAACTAATATTTTACAACGAAAAGGGAAAACCCAACAGTGAAGTTGAGTTTCAAAGTGCAACAAAATATAGTTCAAAACATTTCTGTTGTTTCACTCAGTTAGTTCTGTACAATAAGTGAGATATAAGATTCTGACCCATTTGAAATGCACCATCGTTGTCTAAAACAATAGAAATTTGACACTTTTTGTTAAGAACAAAACAAAAAATCCAAAATGGGGCAGAAGACAGGGTGGGAGCAAGCTCACATTAAAAAACGGTTGGTGCCCACACACTAAAAAATGACCAACTTCCAGGTCATCAGATTGCTGCCAACCTCACTTCCACATAGACTGATGATTCTAATGTTGGCCATTTGTTAGCGGGGGGAGCTGGCTGGCACACAGAAAGCACTGTATACATACACTGTGAATGCAGATGGGCTGACTGGCGATCGTGCCCCACTAAAAGGTGGGTTGGGATTTTATGGACCTAAAGTTCTACCTTACAAGTGAGCTCCATGGTATTTAATAATTAGCACAATTTACTAAAATCTCACAAACCAACTTAACATGATTTAAATGGTAAGCAGCATCCTGGCCAATAACCTCCTGAATAAAATTGGTTTCCCACTTCATAGCTGTTCGTGGTACATTGCTGTGCAAATTGGCTGACCGTTCACCCACAAAATTGTACAGTCACTACACTTTACCGTATATCCTATGAAGCGCTTTGAGGTATCTACCTGTCATGAAAAGTGCAAAATTTTTATTATTATTAATAAAATCTCCCTTGCAGCAGAAGGATGCCGGGAGCTGGAAAAGAATGAAATACCGATTGCATCGATGAGCCAGTAGTTACTTGCAAACATGTTGCAGCTTTGAAACAATCGTGGAAACAATCACATTTCTCTCATTCTTTAAATGCAAGGTGGCAATTAAAGATTAGCAAATGGAACACTGGGCTGTCTTCAAGAGGGCCTTGGTTTCCTGTTTGCTATCCACTGTGGTCAATAAACTACCTCAAAATGTCAAGTTCATTTCTTGTATGAGGCTTGCGGGGGGTTTCCTTTCTTCCGTAGTTTAATGCCAACAACCACACAATGTACTCTCGTGTTAAGCAATTTCCTTTCAAGGCTTTAACCACAACTAATTAATCTTTTTTTTAAATGTTTATCACGTCTGATTTAACAATTTGTCAAATATTCTGCAACAAAAACAGAAAATCCCAACAACAAACTTCAGTAGTAAAGTGCAACAAAATATAATTCAAAACAGTTTCATTGTATTCACCCAGTTAGCTCTATATGATAAGCGAGACAAATTATTTCCGACCCATTTGAAGTGCACCAAAGTCGTCGGGAACAATGGAAATATGAGAATTTCTGTTAAGAACAGTAAGGCTTATCTTGAGTAAATGTTATGGCACATGCTGAGCACACAAATTCCTTGAACGCCCTTGCAGTTTAAGTGTTCTTATCCAACTCCTAAATTTGGTTTTGTTATATCAAGTAAATGTTGTAGGTCTTGATATTTTTGTAATGTTATTGTAACTCTTGTTCTATTTGTTCCTTGTCAAGTGATGACTTGATTCCTCAGACTCCTGAAAACATGAGCTGGCACCTTCTCAGCATTACTCTGTCTTAGATGGCGCCACTTGGTTGATTCCCCTCGCCTCCTACTATTCAACCTTTAGTTAATACTTGAATCTAGTGTCACTATTAGCCAACTCCCCCGAGGACTGAAGTTGGTATCTTTGTAATTACTGCAGATACAAATCTCTACACGGTTTCTCATCAGTTTGCATTTTTACTTAACTTTACATAATCGACTGTGATTACCAACAGAAACTTTGAATAGTTTCTAAACGTTTAAAAGGTTTTCCTTTCACCCTGAGTGATTCAGATTTTTATTTCTGTTGTTTATTGGAAAGTTTTTTCCTCATTTAGGTTGAGGTGATGACAATCTCTTCTTACGTCACATAAACTCGGCAGAGATTTTCATTTCTCTCATGAAATCCTGTGACTGACGAGATTATTTGGAATAAGCAAAAGAATGAAATAAAAAAAACTGGAAGGGAGGGAGGGAGGGAGGGGGGAGGAAAAAGATGAGGCAACAAGGCAAAACATAAACCAGAGACAGCCTATTTCAGCAGAACCTGTCCCACCCTACTTCTGCGACCTCCTGAAACCTTACCATCGCAGCTGCTCAGCGAACAGTTTTCCTTTCTTCCATCACTTCATTTTGGTCAAAGAGTAAATAGATAATGCAGTTAATCTCTCTACATTCAAACTCTATTGTACTAAACACTTGAAATGTCACATACATACGGGCATGAATTTGCATTTCAAGTTAAAAGCAGATCTTTGGAATCGGTTTATGATGAGAGCAGAATTCCTTAAGTACATTTCTGCTTTCTAAAACACCTAGGTCTGAAATTTTATCTACCTTTAAGATTTA